GTGTCCAGTATTGACCCAGACAGTCTGGTATTTTCACCTCCTGTCTAGTAAAAAAATTCAGAAAATACCAGACACCTAAAATGTCCAGTATTTTCTGATTTTTTCCTGGCCAGGAGGCGAAAATACCAGATGCTTACCTGGTTTTGCAGGGGAGCTGTCTTGCCCGGAGCAGGAAGACACAAGATGGCAGATAGCCACTGGCAGCTTGTTAGGGCCAAAAAGCCTCAAAAGCATTTCTTAAAAGGGCCACACTTTTTTTTTTAAGCTTAACAACTATCGGGGTCCTTTTTTTTTGGCTCAACAACTTTGGTCTCTCCCTTTTGTTTTCTCAACAGATTTTTTTTCCTGGTGGGGTTTTTTTGGGGGGGGAGTGAGGGTATTCAGTATTTTTGGTTAAACCATCTGGCAACCCTATGTTATACTCATATATAATTCGTTTGTTGGAGGCCCAGCAGAATATCCTGTCCTCAAGCTGACAGGGCCAGTGGAGCCCAGTTTTCATCATATGCTGCGGCATCATTTCAGTTTGATGCAGTGATGGTTTACTTTGTGGGATTTTTTTTGGTTTTTGTTTTTCCTGCAACATGTATATATGCAAAGTTAGCTAGAATTCAACCCAAAATTACATGTATTAAACTCAAGTAAAAATTTCAACACAAGACTAATACCACAAACTAAAATATCACAAGCTAAAAGGATATAAACTAAGTTAAGCCAATTGTATGAATAATCTTCTTATGCAAACTAAGGCATACATATTTCAGCACGCGATAAATTCCCAAGGAAATATGAATTCAGGCTGGTCCAGAAGTAAAGGGTCACGACTGTACTACCATCGCCTTCAGAAAATTATGTTGCCATATGTCATATAATGTCAAAATGTACTTTTTCATAGAATCATAGAACACTAGGACTGGAAGGGACCTCAAGAGGTCATCGAGTCCAGTCCCCTGCCCTCACAGCAGGACCCCGTATGGTCTAGACCAGGGTTACTCAACTTTGGAAGCCCTGGGGTTTCCAAAGAGCAGTATCTAATCTGCTCTTAAATATCTCCAGAGATGGAGATTCCACAACTTCCCTAGGCAACTTATTCCAGTGTTTAACCACCCTGACAGTTAGGAAGTTTTTCTTAATGTCCAACCTAAAACTCCCCTGCTGCAGTTTAAGCCCATTGCTTCTTGTCCTATCCTCAGAGGCCAAGGAGAACAATTTTTCTCCTTCCTCCTTGTGACACCCTTTTAGATACCTGAAGACTGCTATCATGTCCCCTCATGTCATTGGGCATCTCCTCCTTTATCCAGATTTTAAAACTAAACTACTGAATTAACTCTAGTCCATCATCTTTAAGATTTCAATGGGGATACCATCTGGACTTCCTGCCTTGTTGTTCTTTATCTGCTTGATGGCACCGTATACCTTGTGCAAATTGGAAGGGTCTCCAAGCTCATTCCTAAAAGGCTGTTGGGGGATTTGCTCAAGAACTTCATCTGCAACCATGTAATTACAATTAAGATCTTTTAACTGTTCTTTCCAGTGAAAATTAATGGCTTTGTTGTCTTTCAAAAGTGTGGTTCCATCCTTTGAGCAAAGGGGGTTCACACCATAATAAGCTGGCCCATAAATAGCTTTATGAAGACAGAGGCAAAGAAAGAATTGAGTATTTCAGCTTTTCTCACATCATTTTTGTGTTTTAGCTTACCAAGGATGTCCCTGGTAAGCCAATTTGGTCGCCTACCATATTTGCTTTTCTTGCTGCTTATAGAGATGGTTTCTTCCTGTGCCTTCAATAAGGCTTTTTTAAAATACTGCCAGCTCTCCTGTACTCCTTTCCCCTTTATGTAAGCATCCCAGGGAATCCTGCCCATCAGTTCTCTTAGAGTATGTCTACACTAGCCCCCTAGTACGAACTAGGGAGTTTAATGAGGGTGACCGAAATTAAAAATGAAGCATGAGATTTAAATATCCCACGCTTCATTAGCATGTTCCCGGGGGGGGGGGGGAGGGGTCGCCTCATCCAGTAAGGCCCCCATATCCTCTCTGATCACCCTCTTATTGCTAACATGCCTGTAGAAACCTTTCTTGTTATCCTTCACATCCCTTGCTAGCTGCAAATCCAATTGTGCTTTTACCTTCCTGATAACTCCCCTGCATTCTTGAGCAATATATTTATACTCCTCCATAGTCATCTGTCCAAGTTTCCACTTCTTGTAAGCTTCCTTTTTGTGTTTAAGATCACCAAGGATTTCCCCTGTAAGCCAATCTGGTCTCCTACCTCTCTTGCTACGCATTAGGATGGCTTCTTCCTGTGCCTTTAATAAGGCTTCTTTAAAATACTGCCAGCTCTCCTGGACTCCTTTCCCCTTCATGTAAGCATCCCAGGGTATCCTGCCTATAAGTACTCTCAGGGAGTCAAAGTCTGCTTTTCTGAAGTCCAGGGTGTGTATTTTGCTACTCTCCTTTCTTCCTTTGGTCAGGACGCTGAAATCTACCATCTCATGATCACTGCTTCCCATGCTGTTACTCATCTCTACTTCCCCTACTAGTTCCTCCCTGTTTGTGAGCAGCAAGTCAAACTGCACATGGTGCCTGATCGGTTTCTTCAGAACCTGTACCAAGAAGTTATCCCCAACATTATCCAAAAACTTCCTGGATTGTCTGTCTACAGATGTCAGGGTGATTAAAGTCGCCCATGAGAACCAGGGCCTGCGATCTGGAAGCTTCTCTCAGTTGTCCAAAGAAAACCTCGTCTACCTCATCCACCTGATCCAGTAGTCTACAGCAGAACCCAACCACAACATCACCCCTGTTGCTTCCACCTCTAAACATAACCTCTCAACAGTGTTTTCTCCCTCTTAAATACTGGAGCTCCAAGCAATTATTCTGCTCTCTTACATATAATGCAACTCCTCCTCCTTTTCTTCCCTGCCTGTTCTTCCTGAACAGTTTATACCCTTTCATGACAGTGCTCCAGTCATACGAGTCATCCCACCAAGCCTCCGTTATTCCAATCAAATCATAGTTCTTCGCCTGGGCCAGAGCTTCTAATTCTTCCTGTTTGTTTCCCAGGCTTCTCGCATTTGTGTAAAAACACCTTAGATAACCAGTTGATCGCCCTACCTTCTCCATCTGAATCAGGTGTCCTCCTTTGTTGCTCGTTCCTCCTTGTGATTCTTCCTGGTGTCCGGCTTCCTCATTTACCTCAGGGCTTTGGTCACTGTCCCCCCATGAACCTAGTTTAAAGCCCTCTTCACTAGGTTTGCAAACCTGCCCGCGAAGATGCTCTTTCCTCTCTTGGTTAGGTGGATCCCATCTCTTCCTAACAATCTTTGTGCCCAGAACAGAGTCCCATGGTCAAAGAAACCAAGATTCTCTCTCCAACACCACCTGCGTAACCAAGCATTTACTTTCTCAATTCGACGATCCCTATCTGGACCTTTTCCTTCAGCTGGAAGGATGGAGAAGAACACCACTTGTGCTTCAAATTCCTTGATCCTTCTTCCCAGCACTACATAATCTGCTGTGACCTGCTCAAGGTCATTCTTGGCCGTATCATTAGTTCCTACATAGAGAAGCAGGAAGGGGTAGCGATACGAAGGTTTAATCACTGCGGAAGACTCTTGGTCACATCCTGAATGCAAGCTCCTGGTAAGCAGCACACTTCTCAAGATTGCAGGTCTGGATGGCAGATGGATGACTCAGTCCCTCTTAGGAGGGATTCCCCAACCACCACCACCAGTCTTCTTCTTTTGGGGGTGGTGTTCATGAAATCCCCGTCCCTAAGACTACGCATCCCATGCCTTCCAGTAGATGGTGTTCCCTTCTGATTTCTTCCGTGAGAGGTCTCTTCGAAAGCATTCTCCACCTCAGTGCCTGGGGGATTCCCAAATTGACCACGTTCTCCTTCTACAGGTTACATGCTGCCAGTTCTCTTCCTTATCTTGTATTGCCCTGGCTGGCTCTTCAACTTGCTGTGCCTGCAGGATTAAACGCTGCCTTCATCCTCTCTGATAGAATGTAGGGTCGATACTTGGGCCTCAAGTCCTATATTTTTTTCTTCCAAAATGGTGAGCAGCTTGCACTTAATGGAGATGAAATCCCTCCTTTCTTCTGGGAGGAAGACAAACATGGCACATGCTGTGCAGGTAACAACAGCAGACCTATCAACATCCATACCTGGCTTCCTTCGGAGAGATTCCTCTGTTGTTATTAAATGCCTCCTTGAAGGGCAGGAGTGTAGTGAAAAGATTATCAAGAATGGCGAGTCTCTCACCCCCTTCCCACTCCCTCTCCAAACTCCCTGTTAATCGCCCCTGTTCGCAAGCTCCCTGGTCGCTGACTCACTCCTTTATAAAGCCCTAGACTGTCTGATAGCCCCTTCCCCTGATTAAGGTCCAACTAATGAGCAGAGGCTTCTAGATTTGAAACCCTGATTAGAAGCTCCCAGCTTCCACCTGCCAGTCACAACATTAACTCCATGAAAGGGGGGGGGGAAAGGCGGGAAGGTAAAGGAGAAAAAAAAATCTTTAAATACTCCCAACACAATCAAATCAAGATTAGTTTCCTTCTATTTAAAATAATCCAATTTGAGAATCCGATTCCAAACTTCAAGGCTCATTTCACCTATGCAAAAGAAAAATGGTTATTGACTGAAAGCAGAGTTGGCAAACCTTTTTTTAGTCAAGGGCCACTGTCCCACAGAAAAAAACAGTGGGTGCCACATAGTCTCAAAAGAATGCGTGGGGAGGGAGCAAATGACCCAGTATTTAAAAAAAGTAAAGGCATGCACGTGTTCACAAACACAAACTCAATCCTTTGGGCAATGACAAAGTATGAAAAATATAATCAGCCCAAAAGGTGAACATTCTGCAAAGCAGGACTGTATGGAGCAATTCTGAAATCTTAGTTGTTGGATGCTACATAAATAAAAGAAAGTTTCTACCAAACCAGCTATAATTCAGTTTAATATAGGTTAACATTTAATGGGAGAGAAGTCAGTGTACCTTTTCAATGTCTGAAAGCGATGACAGTGACTGGTTCTGCAGAACCTCTGGTGCCATGAATGCTTGCAAATCCTGGTTGGAAACATTTTCATCTGTAAATGACACACTCCCAGATGGAAGCAACAGCAAAGACCATGGAGAAATAATGAAGCTCACGTCAGTAGGATCAGCTATATTTGAAAAAACAAACAAAACACAGTTGAAAGGCAGCTGCTACCAAATAAAACAACTCTACATATATCTTTTCAAGAGTTCATCTGACAAAGAAAGTTGGGAAATGGATTGCATGATCTAGTTAGTCTCAGCGGAGTAGCCATGCTACTCTGCAACTTTAAAAAAACCCTAAAAAAACCAAAGCAAAACAAAACAATGAGTGGTACCGTGTCATGAGCTTTCATGGGGTATGTCTACACTAGCCACCATAGTTCAAACTAGGGTGGCTAGTGTAGACATACCCATGGGCACAAATCGCTTCTTCAGACTCATAAAACAGCTTTCATCAGAAAAAGTTTATGGGAGAAAAGTAGCAAAGACCTTTCAGATAAATAATATCAAGGTAAAATAATTACATTATCTGGAATTCTTAAAACAAATGATCTGCCAAAACATACTCCTTCCTTACTTTTTATATAAGAACTGAGAAGACAAAAAACAGACTAAATAATGTTAGCAATCAGCTGAACAATTGTATTTGAAATACAATGCTCAAGACAAGAGTGAATTATCAAGTCTCACTCTACTACCCATAATTTCCTTCTACTTTACTTAAATGTAATCAATATTATTTTATAATATTTGCTATTTATATTAACATTCAACATCTGAGAAGATAAGCATTATTTCCATTTCGCAGGTGGGGAAATCTAAGGCACAGAGGTTAAATGAGAATGACTTTATCCTACAGTTCATAGATAGTCTTATTGTTATAGCCAGGATTAGCGCTCCTTATTCCTACTCCCACACTACCTTTCATGGCCTTTGTTTTAGTGATCCAAACTGATGGTAAATGTTTCATAATGACAATATTTTCTGGTTTATTTACTGTTTGTCATAAGAAAACAAGCATCACAGGGGATTATTTTTTGACCAGTGGTAGGAGGATAAGACCATGGCAAAGGGTAGAGCAGAATAAGAAAAATGATTAAACCAAAATGTATTTTAAAAATATAAATAGTGCAATCTCATGTTATACTTGTTGCATATATATATAAATGCATTAGCCAACAGAAATGAACCTTGACTATCCAGTTCACAAAAGCCATGAAGTTTGTATATTAAGATTTAACTAGTCAACATTGACTTACAACAGTAGAGCCAATGAAGCTTCTCTAAGAAGAAGCTAATGTTACAAGGTCATCATATCTTGAGGTATTGATTCAGCCACTCTCCTCTCCAGGTTCTAAGACCTGCACTATCAGCTCCACCACGACTTGCTCCAGGGCAATGCCACTGTCGTTCTTCGCACTCATGGGCTGCCAGCCCAGGAGGCTCAGGAGTAGCGCCAGGCACAGGGTGAGGTGTCCCCGGCTGCCCGCTGTCCCATCCTCCACAGAGCCCCAAATGGCTGTGTCCTGAGCCCAGCGCTGAGCCATCCCGAAAGAACCTGCTGCTGTAGGCCAGCAATCCCTGAGGCATCACAAAAGAGAGGCCAAGCAGCATTCAGAATGGATGCCAACACAGATGAGCTGGGAAGAAGGCACCTTCCTCTGCATGGTGGCACTTGGAGACACCCCCCACCTCACTGCGTGGTCCCCCAGCCCTCTTTCCATCCTCCATGTCCTCAGCCCCTCTCCTGTCCCTTCACAAACTCCCATCACCCCTTTTAAACCTGGCATTCCAAAAGAACCCCATCTCTCTGGCTCTCCTTCCAGCTTCCTTTTTTGCCTCCCTTCTGTTTTCTCTGCTCACAGACAAACCCCTTTTTCTCCCAAAAGAACCCCAACTCTCTGCCTCTCCTTCCTTTCCTTCTGTTTCCTCTGCTCACAGACAAACCCCTTTTTCTGCTTCACAGCACCCCAGAAATGCTACCTTTGCTGTCCCTTCTCTCTTACAGCATCCAAGCAGCCCTCCTTCTCAGTCCCATCCTCATATGTAAGGTCTGCTTGCATTACAAAAATCAGACTAACTTTCTTTGATTTCACCAAACAAATTTTTCGTTAACTTCTATGATGCACACTCATTGCATGACTATTTTGAATTCCTTTATATTTAAAAAAATTGTGGTCCACGTTTCCAAAAAAGCACCCCCCATCCTCTCCCACACACACTGAAATTCCTGCATACAGGCCTGGTGCCCTTTCTTTGCTTGCTAGGTTGCCCGTTTGTGGGAGTTGTTAGGGTGTAAGGAGGGAGAGAGGAAGGGGGATAGGGTGTATGTGGGAATGGGTGGTGAGGTAAGGGGGGATGGTGGGGATGAGCAGGATACAAGGAATGGGGGATGGGCAGTGTGAGGGTGTAGAGGGGGAAGGGTTAGGGAAGGATGGAGGAGGGGGTAGGGATAGGCAATGTGTGGTGGGGAGGGAGAAGGGCTAGGGAGGATGAGTGAGTGTAGGAATGGAGGTGTGGGTAGGGATGGAAGGAGGGGGGTGAGCCATGGGCTATGGAGCTCTGGGATAAGGACTAGCAGGCCACATTATCCCACCAGGCTCTCTTCCTGCGTGACCCACATCTGGTTCTCAGTAGGGTGTGGGCGCGTAAAGCAGAGGGCTCCCCCATGGTTCCATGTCTCTCCACTGTGCCCTGTCTGAATGGAGCATGCCCGAGCCCCACAGCTGGAAGGGCACATCTGGAGCACTGCCACCTGCAAAGATGGGCACCAAATTGGCACAGAGAGGGGAGAATTCTCTCCCTACCTGGTCACTCGCACGTAACCCAGCCCCTACTCCTCGTGAGCAAGCCGGGTGCTCAGGAGCACCTGGAATCAAGGCGATTCGTTTGGGGTTAGGCCCCATTTTACTGATTGTGTTTAATTTTCGTTTACATGTGAGGCCCACAAGACCACAGAGTACAGCCCTTCCTGACAGGTCACTTCTCCATAGCCCTGTGCTAGCTGCTAAGAGAGGCTCCGAACTCTGCACACAAACTCTTTTATTGGTGGGTGGCGCGGAAGTGGGAAGAGTGCGGGAGGGTAGCTGGCTGGCGCTTCAAGGGCACGAGAGGACGGGATGGGTCGAGAGCATTTAGATAGAAGGGCCCATCCAGGGGTGAGGTGGTGTGGGAGTGGAGAAGGGTGCAAGTGACTTGGTGTCATGGAGAGCACAGTTGGGCACAGTGCAAGATTAACAGGCTCTCTGGCCACAAAAGTGGCCAGGCAGAGGGGCGTTGGTAAGTGCAGTGAGCGCAGTCCCCTAGTGTAACAACAGAAACAAGTGCCTCAGAAATGCAGGCCTAATTTTCTAGTTCAATGGCCAGAACTCCCAATGTATCGATATCAGAGAAACTGTCCACTCCTACCTGTATGTAGCAGAAAAGCTACATATATTGTGGGTATTAAACGGTAATTTTTTGTGGTTCAAATAAAAGTTCATTGTTCCTGCTGGGGATGTTAAATATCAGTTAGTTGAATAGTTCAGTAACCTCATGAAATGTTATCAGTTAGTCGATTATTCTATAGTCCCTGGGGGCAGGACTGGCAGCCACTGTATCAGAGGCAGCAGCGCAGAGTGCCAGGTGGGAGCTGGTCTGTGAGGGGAGCCAGTTTAAAAACGATCTCCTCTACCGGACTTGCTACCTGTCGCCCTGTGCTTCTGCTTCTTAGAAAGAGGCAGCAGCGTGGGGTGGCAGCCCCTGTGTAGGGAGGGTCTGAGCTCCCGGACTTGGCACGAACTGGAACTGAGCCGGGCTGTCCGCCCACCTGGCTTTTAATAGACTTGAAATGCAGAGCCGAAATGGAGGTAGGTCCCAGACCCAGCGTGAACCAGGACTGAGCCAGGCTGCCTGCCCGCTCAGCTCCTATTAGACTTTAAATGCACAGCCGCAGCAGGGGTAGGTCCCAGATCTGCTGCAAGCCAGGACTGAGCCAGGCTACTGAAAAAAATTACTGGCAGGGGAAACGGGGGAAAGGAACGCATTAACCTATAAGCCTTTGCTTATCGGTTAATTTGACTATACTATTACATCCCTAGTTCCTACTGGCTTGGAAATAGAAAGTTTCACTTCGTAAAATAAGAACACTTATGGCAACAGCAGCACAACAAATATTCATAAATGGGAAGGATCCTACAGACCTTAAAGTAATGGTGATTTACATGTTTAGAGTCTCAACACTATATTATAAACAAACAAATATATAATTATACCTTTCACTTTCAAGTATCCACTCACTGTTACTTAACTAAGATTGAGTTTGTTTCAGTATTTGTGATGAAACTGTAGAGCATGGGTTCTCAGAACCAATTTTTGGTGTCCTCAGTGTGTGGCCTCTTGTTAGCGGGCACTGACATTTTGCTAAAATACTTAAACTTTTTTCTAAAGAAATAAATATGCACATACACTGGGGATGTCATCATGTAGACTACTACATGATTAAATGATAAGCCAGGGCTTATTTGTTAATCTAGTCGACTACACATATTTCACCCCACTTGCTGCCTCTGTATCAGCAAGATCTCTCACTCTTCCCCCTGTATCAGAGGCGGCAGGGTGAAGAGTGGGACAAGCTTAAAAGCCAGCTCCCCAGGAGCACTAGATCTTCCTGCCCCCAACCCTGCACTGTTGCCTCTGACAGAGAGGCAGCAGCGTAGAGGTGAGGGGGATAGGCTGGAGCCAAAATGCATGGGGAGCCGGCTTTCAAGCCAACTTCTTATGGACCTGCCTGCCCCCCCTTGTTGCCTCCTACAGAAGCAGCCGGGGG